GCAACCGTCCATCCCCTGTCCCCCCAGAGTACCTTCTTGGTCTCCACTCTCCCTTTCATGCCTTTCTTTCTCCCACCAGGTATGGTTAGATCTAGGTCTAAGTCATCACTCACCTCTGTCCACTTTGCTCTTTCCCACTACCACAGTCCATTTCACAGCTTTGATGTAATCTCTTCAGGGAGACTTCCTTGACCTTATCACCACTCTCCCTGCATGCCCATGCACACACGCACGTGCACATGCACAAGTCTGGGGTCCCTTCTGTGTGTGCTCACGCATTAGAGCGCATGCTTCATTTTTCTTTTTTTGAGTAGACAGTACCATGACAGCACCTGTTCTAGTATACCAAGTTCAGGGCAGGCTCTGTGGGCATACAACCTGTGTGGTGGCCCATGGGGACACTTTTGGAAAGACCCCACACTTAGTGGAATACTCCACCATTGCCTTCCTGAAATTCGTTATAATTTTTGAATCAGAGACTCCATTTTTGTTTTGTGCTGGATGCCCATCAATCTGTGTACTGACCAGGCAGTGAGCCCCGCGAGGGCAGGGGCACGGTCTGACTTGTTCACACCTGGGTCCCAGAGCACCTAGTATGTTTGCCACATAAGAAGTGGTGGGGCGCCTGGGTGGCTCAGTGGGTTAAAGCCTCTGCCTTTGGCTCAGGTCATGATCCCAGGGTCCTGGGATCGAGCCCCACATCAGGCTCTCTGCTCCGTGGGGAGCCTGCTTCCTCCTCTCTGTCTGCCTTGCCTCTCTGCCTACTTGTGATCTCTCTCTGTCAAATAAATAAATAAAATCTTTAAAAAAAATCTTATTTAAAAAAGAAGTGGTTGGGAAATATTTGTAAATGGTTGAACTGGTTGGAGTCTAGGAAGCCTGATCATGTATAAATGATCAGAATAATCATGTGTATCCACTGGGGCAATGCACATCAAGCATTTAAAACAGTGTCTGCCACCCAATGAGCCATCAGCCAATATCGATCGGTTCCTTTCTTTCTACGCGACAGCCATCCCAGAGTCCTCATTTAAAGTGGTATCTGGCTAGCAGCCTCTCCTAACTTTCTGCTGAGAAGTTTCTTGAGACTGGAGAAGGCAGAACAGACTAGAAAATAAATCTGGTGGACTGCCTGAATCTGGAAGGCAGCGCCGTAACTGTGAGGCCAATGGAACAGCCTGAGAAAATCCTACCCTGGTTTTTGTCACATGCGGTACCCCTACGTCACCTCATGAAAACAAATACAGATTACAGAAGAAAGAAAATACTTAGTAATGCCCTGATTTCTGCCTGAAGACTCAGAAAATAGGCAGCTTTCCAACCCATATGTGTCAGTGGAGAAGGGCCAGTGAGGCTGGGCCATGATGCAAGGAGAGAAGGATAAGGGAAGGAAGGCTGGAAAGGGGGCAAGGGCAGGACACCCCAGAACCTTGTAAGGATTTAGGTTGTATCTTATGCATGGTGGAATGCTGCAGGTAGGTTTTAGGTAGGACAGTGATGGAGATGAACAAAGTGGGGGATAAGCAGGGAGAGCAGGAGCTTCTTGTGATGATCTGGACAAAGGGTAACCTTGGATGGAACTAGAGTGGTTGTAATGGAGGCAGGAAGACTGGACAGATTCCAGGCATATATTATGATTAGAGTGGATGGAACTTAGAGACTGAGCAGGTAAGATGGATGTTAAGACAAAGCAGTGTCCCAGACAGGCCATTATCAGTCGGCTAATGCCATGATGATGCTATGTTACAAACCAGCTCAACGCTGAATCACTTAGACCAATAAGCATTAGGTTGTTTCTTTCATATGTTCATGGGCTGGCGAGGGGGACTCTGCCTCTGAATTTAGATGGTCTGGGCTTGGCTCCAGTCTTTGACTTCAGTTCAGGTCCTTTCATCATTCTATGAGTATTAGAATTCTACTTGTGTAAAAAAAAAAAAAAGAATTCTATTTGTGTTCTACTAGTATTACTGTTCTACTAGTATTTGAGGTACTAGTATGTGAGTGGTGACTAGTAGCAACCCAGCATATTCTTCTCATTTGGATGGGCAAGGATGCAAAAGTCAAGCCAGACCACAAAGCATATTTAAAGCTTCAGCATGCATCATGTCTACTCCCATTGTGTTGGCCAAGGCAACAGAGGGACAAGCCCAAAGTCAGGATGTCCAAGAAATAAACTTTGCCCCAAAGTGAGGGATGGGAGAGTGAACTAATATTTGCTGAACAATATTTCCATCTATCACACCAAGTTTCTGGAATAAACAACCAAGTGGATGAAGGTCTGTTTTACTTAATGAGTAAAACTGAAGTTAAGAGAAAAATGTCCCCTCATGTATCAGTTAGCTTTTGCTGTATAACAAACTATCCTGAAACACAGTGGCTTAAAACAGCAAACAGTTCTAATTTCTCATAATTCACTGTGTTGCCAAAGTGGCTTTTCTGGTCAGAGACAGGATGGCTGGTTTCTACTGGTATTGCCTATACATCTGTGTTCATCTGGAGGCTCAGCTGGGGCTGGCGAGTCTAGGATGACATCATTTGCGTGTCTGGACATTTGCCCAGTGATCGCTGGGGCAGTGGAGATGACTTGCCATTTGTCTCTTATATCAGTCAGGCTAGCTCAGGCTCATTTCTGGTGAGATGGTCACAGGGTTCCCAAGAGTAGCAAATGAAGTCCCATGCAGCAAACACTTCAAGCATCTGTTTGTGTCACATTTGTTAAGGTCCCATTGGCCAAAGCAAATCATGTGGCTAAGGCCAGATTTAAGAGGTGGAGAAATAAGCTTTATGTCTTGATGGAATGAGGGACAATGTTACGTTGCACAGAAGTGTGCATAGAGGAATGAAGATGTGTGGCCATTCTGGCAACCTACCACACTTCACTACAGCAGAGATAAACACGCTGATTTACAAACACAAACTCGAAGCATTTTATAAGCATCAAATTATCTAACGCTCATAGCAATCCCATGAGGTGGGTACTTACTCTCACTCTGCAATTGAGGAAACTGAGGCACAAGTAGGTTGAGTAACTGCAGTAACTTGCCTTCGTTCATACAGCTGATGGAGGACTTGAACTGTGCCGAGCGTCCCAGAGTCTGTGCTCTTACCCACTGTGTTAGCTCAACTCTCAGTGGGGTGCCAGTGCTGTTACTACTACTACTACTACTAGTACTACTACAACTACTACTAATACTACTACTAATAATAACAACAGTAGAAACTGGGAGCTGGGTGGACAACTTCCAGCAGAACTTCTGAGGAAGCAAGCGGACCATCGTCTACACGGCCAGTGAGCCCAGCAAAGTGTATGTCCAGACGGATCGTGTCCCTCTAGAGAATGAACCGAGAGGAAGAGAACAAATGTATGAGCCCCAGGAAGATTAGGCAAAATTCCTGCAGCGTCCTTGAATTTGATTTTTTTAAAAGATCTTATTTATTTATTTATTTGACAGAGAGACAGAGATCACAAGTCAGCAGAGCGGCAGGCCATGGCAGAGGGGGAAGCAGGCTCCCTGCTGAGCAGGGAACCCAATGCGGGACTCGATCCCAGGACCCTGGGATCGTGACCTGAGGCGAAGGCAGCTGCTTAGCCGACTGAGCAGCCCGGCGTCCACAATTTGACTTTTTCTAAAAGATTTATTTATTCATTCATTCCAGGGGGGTGGAGAGAGCCAGAGGGAGAGACACAATTCCAAGCAGACTCCGAAGTCAGGGTGGCATCCAATGTAGGGCTCAATCCCACGACCCTGAGATCATGACCAGAGTCAAAACCAAGAGTCAGGTGTGCTCGCTGGACTGCACCACCCAGGCACCCTGTGATTTTTGAGAATGTTTTCTCATAAAATTTTTGGTCTTGTACCTCTTCTATCACTTTGATTACTTTTGTTTTCTGTTCTGTATGCCAGATTTCTTTTCTAATCAAGAAACATTTCAAACATAATAAACAGTGCTTTCTCCAGTCTAATTATCAAACAGATACTAATGATCTTCCAAATATCCTTAAGTTCTCACTTAAAAAAAAAGAGACTAAAACATTATAGATAGCTAGTAGCAGTTAGCTTTTGATATATAACAAAGAGCCCCCCAAACAGTAGCTTAAGTGAACAACTGTGTAGTTCTCAATTTCAGATGAAAATGAGATCAAGGGGTGCCTGGGTGTCTCAGTCAGTGAAGTATCTGCTTTTGGCTCAGGTCATGATCCCAGGGTTCTGGGATCGAGCCCCACATCTGGTTCCCTGCTTGGGGAGCCTGCTTCTCCCTCTCCCTCTGCCTGCTGCTCCCCTGCTGTGCTCTCTTTCTCCATCAAATAAATAAAAATCTTTAAAAGAAGTTTTATAAAGTGTTTAAAGTACAAAAAAGAGGTATCATTGAATTTAGCCCTGATCAGTGTTTTCTTATCACGTAGTCATGCTCAGAACATCGTTGGTGAATATTTGAAGACAAACTATTTTGCCACTTTTTATACATAATCAGCATCAAAATAGGTCACATATGGGGAACCTGGGTGGCTCAGTGGGTTAAGCATCTGCCTTTGGCTCAGGTCATGATTCCAAGGCCCTGGGATCAAGTCCTGCATCAGGCTCCCTGCTCAGCGGGGAAACTGCTTCTCCCTCTCCCTCTGCCTGCTGTTCCCCCTGCTTGTGCTCGCTCGCTCACACTCTCTGTCAAATAAATAAAAGAACAAAACAAAAACAAAGAATTGTTTTTTATGAGGGAAACAATTATTTTGTATTTGGAGTGCTGACGCGGAGGCCAAACTTCCTGAGTTTAAACCCTGCACTCTCTGTCACTGGGCAAGTTTCTTACTCAACATACGTATGAGTTTCTTTATCTGTAAAGTGGGGATAATGACAGTATCCACATTATAGGGTTGTTGTGAGGATTAAATGAACAACCTAAGACATGTTAGCTATTCCTATGTTTGTTAAAAAAAAAAAAAGATTCTGCAGTTGCCTAATACTACTAGCAAACATGCATTAATGTTTGTCGGTTTCGCCTAGATCTGGATGTGTGGAGGCCAACTTTTCATACTCCCCTGCTCGCGAGTGGGACTCATCAATAAGCCGCGCTTTCCCAATCGACCTGGTTTTATGAAATCCGTGACCTATAACAATCTCAGATTGGTGCACGTTTGGCTGGACCAATACAAGGTGAAGGAAACATCTCTGATTTGGAAAGACAAGCAAGAGTACAGAATGGGATTGCCCTAAAGACACCTGTTACTACTACCTTTCCAGATAACAAATTTTGGGATTTTCCCCTCTATTTTCCTTAAATTAGCCGTCAGCCACTCATCTACCTTCCCCAGACCCTATTCTCAATTGGTTCATTTGAATCTACTGCCCTGGAGCATTACTTTTTAATTTCTAGGGAAACTCAAGTTTCTCAGAAGTAAATCAACCACCACTGGAAGTTTGTTTGGCCCAGATCTATTTCCCCTCCTAAGCAGTGCCCCTCTGAAGCAGCTCTCCCTGCCCTCCTCCCCACAGGCAGCTCCCCAGATTCTCTTCCTCTACTACCAAGTTCTCAAGGGATGCAGCTGCTATGATCTAGAGACCACGCAAGAAACTCCATTACCTCTTTTTTTTTTAAAGATTTTATTTATTTGATAGACAGAGATCACAAGTAGGCAGAGAGGCAGGCAGAGAGAGAGGGGGAAGCAGGCTCCTCGCTGAGCAGAGAGCCCAATGTGGGGCTTGATCCCAGGACCCTGGGATCATGACCTGAGCCGAAGGCAGAGGCTTAACCCACTGAGCAACCCAGGCACCCCCAATTACCTCTTTTCAACCGACAGTCAAAGATTTCTCTATCAAAGCCATGCTCCTTCATCAGTGCACCTCCCCAAGCCTTCAGCCCCTAGCCAGGACCTAAAAGGACGCACAGAGAACATGCCGCTCTGGCCCCATTTGAAAGTGGTCCCTGCAGGATCCATGCACGATCCAATACCGCGGTAACCCCAACAAGACCTCGTGTCAGATACATGGGGAGAAATGTGTAAGAATCTCTCTATGATAGTCTAAGTTCTGGTCTTAATCTAATATTTATTTATTATTTTAAATTATAAAAGTAATAATACTCTTTCTCTAGTAATCAGGGCAATGCGGATTAAAGCCTCAGTGAGGTATTTCTATGTAGTCACTTAGATTGGCAAAACTGTTTAAAGTCTGATAGGACCAAGTATTGGCAAGCACAGGAATTCTCAGACATCGCGTGTGGGAGCACTCATTATTACAAACTCACTTTGGAAGACAGTTTGGCAAAATCAAGTAAAGATCATGAATATCCCACGATCTAGCAATTCCATCCTACACATACATCCCAGAAAGACACGCTTTTGTGCAAGAATGCATGAACGAGAATGTTTACAAACAGCATTGTAGGTGTTAGCCAACACTAAATACAGCCCACGTGCTCATCAGGATCAGAATGGATAAATGCGACATATTTAATTGATATAATTCTATTTGGCCATGAAAATTAACTGTAGACATACATACAATAGTACAGCCCATCTTTAGGACATAATGGTGAAGTAAAGCAGCCAAAAACAATAGAATGTATACTGATTTATTCCAGTTCCTATTAAATTAAAAATGGGTAAAATTAAGTCACATAATTTATGTGTGCACAATTAGATAAAGCTAAAAAGAAAAGCAAAAGCATGAATACATAATCAAGATAGCATTTAAAACCAAGGGAAAGACTTCGTTCAGGAAGGGAAAGGCTGGGGGCTTCGAGGAGATTGTTTGTGTAGTATTTCTTGACCTAGTCAGTATCACGGGGGTTGATTTTTCAACAATTCATTAAGTTGCACATTGAATTTTATATACTTTTTGTATACTTATTATATCTCCTGATTTTAAAAGAAATTATTTTTTAAAAGGTAAAACATACACATGTTTAAAAGTCATACAGTACTGAAAGAGTACTAAGTGAAAAGCAAGCTTTCTCAGACCATATATGGTTCCACCCCTCAGAAGTAACATTAAATTAGCAAGTGCTAAATCACTAAATTTAGCAATCACTAAAATGAATAGTTTCTTGTTAACACACATTAAAAACAAATATATATCCTTTTATATAATGAGATTCACACAATATTCTGCAATTTTTCCACCTGTTAGCATATTTTATTTTTTTAAAAAATATTTATTTATTTATTTTAGAGAGCGAGTGCATGGGTGGAGGCAGGGGTGGAGGCGCGGATTGGGCAGAGCAAGAGGGAGAAGCTGACTCCCTGCTGAGCAGCGAGCCTGATGAGTGGCTCAGTCCCAGGACCCTGGGATTATGACCTGAGCTGAAGGTAGATGATTAACCAACTGAGCCACCTAGATAGCTCCTAGCTGCTCCACAGAGCCCCTACCTGTTAGTATATTTTAAAAACATACTTTCAAAGTCTTTTAAAATCTGAACATATAAACATGTCACCATAGGTGGCTGTGATTCTTGGGCTTCTACACCCCTCCGCTGTGGTTTGTCACAGCACATACTGTGAATGCGCGTGGGGTGAGGGAATCCAGGTACCACGTGTGTCTCTGCCCTCACTCTACGGATGGAATCGGAAGGTCTTCTGATTTTTGTTGTTCTTGTTCAGGTGATGGAAGGATATACTGCTATGTTAGATACGGCTTGTTTGGTTTAATGGAATAACTGACTCTCTATTTCCATTTAGGAGCAATTTTTTTTACGACAACCTGGTCTGAAATCTGTTGCCTACGGAAACATCAGCGAGCACGTTGAACTGAGGAAACGGTTGGGTTGCAAACCATTTCAGTGGTATTTGGATAATGTCTTCCCAGAACTGGAGACATCTAAGGACAGCCAAAGAAAAGGAAACAAATCATTTTCATTAATGAAGGGCTAAAAACCTCTGAGATCTTCAACACAGCAAAGAACACAGTTCCAGACCTGATGCGAGTTTGGAACAACATGAAATTATGTGACATGCAGTAAGAAATACAACCAGAGTGCCTTTCTGTCTTCCTTTAATGATAGTTCTTAACACTTTGTTACACATGCCACTACATTTCTGGGGCAGCAAAACCTTGAATGTTAGAAATATACACAGTCACACAGATAAGACTATCATACAATTGTGTGAGGTGAAGTGTATTCTCTTCGTTATTTGCCAAACTCACTTGGTCCTGTTGGACCATAGGGAAGGTTCCACTTTTGGAGCCTTTGTCAATTCCATTCACTCCAGGCAGGTGACCTGGCCTGGTGGCCTTCTCAGAAAGACATTCACAGAGAGCCTTGGTTGGTACATACCAACTTCAGCTCAACTGTTTCGAGCTCCTCTCTTGCTGCCAGGGTAGATACTGGAACTGATCCCTTGCTTGGCTGGGTTCCTGAGTTTCCGAGGTCCCATCCACTTGCTGTGGTGTCCAGTTCTCTAGGCTGGCCTTCTGGTTTGTGTGTGTCAGTCCTTTTGTCATTAAGAGACAGTCCCTCTTCCATGCTTCCAGTTTTGCCTTGTTCATATTTTTCCCCTCCCATGGCTCTGGCTTACAGCTCTCCTGACCCTTCTTGGATTATGCGCTCTGTTGTTAATCTATGTCCTGACTAAGAACTGTTTAGCTGGGACTGGGGAAGAAGTAGCTAAGTTCCCTATCTACCCTGTGTGAACACACTCCCAAATGTCTATTTTTATTTATTTATTTTTATTTATTTATTTGACAGAGAGATCATAAGTAGGCAGAGAGATGGGCAGAGAAAGAGGGGGAAGCAGGCTCCCCGCTGAGCAGAGAGCCTGATGAGACTCGATCCCCAGACCCTGAGATCATGACCCAAGCCGAAGGCAGAGGCCCAACCCGCTGAGCCACCCAGGCATCCCCCAAATGTCTAAAGTATTTATTTTGGGTTAGAAGGATGGCTATTGTGTTCACCCTGGTGAAGGTGGCTAGAAAGGGGGCATATATCTAATTCACAGAAACAATGAGAAAATGAGGGGGAAAACACATTGAAAGGAATAAAAGAACTGGGGGAGACTTGGGGTAGGATCACTAAACCTAGCGTATAAACTAGTTTTTATAGCAGGAGACAACTTATCTTTTATGCTTACTCAGTCGACAACTGAGTGGTCATCCAGGGCCAGATATCCTTCTAGGTGCTGGGACACAGCAGACGGGGGAACAACAAAACATCCCTCCCTTCATGGAGCTCCTGTTCTTTGAGATAATCCATATAATGTAAAGAAAAAAGAGCCAGTTACTATGATCTCTTTATACCTATGTATTTAGCAACTTACTCTATAGAATTCTGTTGTTAGAATGACATGGGGAAGACCTGGACTTATATATTACGGTGGTCAGGGAACTTGACTGAAACTTTAAAAAGTCAATCTGGCAACACAAAATAAGCACCACGTTATGATTTTATTCTTGGCCCATGTTTATACTTTACCTGCTTCTAGGAAGTAATAAAAAATGTTTATAATAAACACATGGATCTATTAAAATTGGGGTAAAATACAAAATAGAAATCTATAGCAGAAGGAAAAAAATTTAGTATAAATAAATCATTTTGAAATAATTTTTTTTTAGTTTTGAAATTTGAGAATAATTTTTTTTCCTTTGGTAAGCATACAAGAGGATGTTGTAAATAATCAGCTTTGCCGGAAGAAAAAGACAAATGTTCTTAGACCCATGAGCCTAATATTAGGTCTTAGTTGTTTTTTTTTTTTTCTCCTTAGAGACAGGGCACACATGCAGGCATGGGGAGAGAGGGGTGGGAGGAGAGGGACAGAAGGAGAGGGAGAGAATCTCAAGCAGACTCTCCGCGTAGTGCGGACGGAGCCGGATGCAGGGCTCGATCTAGACCCTGAGATCATGACTTGAGCTGAATCCAAAGGTCAGGTGCTCAACAGACTGAGCCACCCAGGTGCCCCTTAAGTTTTAATTTTTTACTGTGACTGTTGGTTCAGGTACCAGATAACAGTGTGGGCAAGTCTTAGACATGATGTACTATATTCCTTGAGATAAGTCTGGAATAGAAATCAGAATAAATATCCAAGTATTGGTGTGATTGAAAGGAAATCCATATTAGCTTATAGGTGGCAATTTTCTGTTTCATGTGGAAACTTAAAAACCTGACTTCTATTTTGGAGCTAACCCACTCAAAGCTTTCCTTAAAACACAGTTTTTGGTATGAGCGGATGTTCCGACAAACCTTAAAGTAAGCCTGGGAGTTCTCTAATTAAAGCATACTTCTCGGAATGTAGCCTAAGACACGCCAGCATGAAACAGCTCCCATTATGTTTCATAGGCTGTGGCAAGTACTCTGCCCGGATTATCTCAACTCAACCACACATAAGAGAGGCCCTGTTGTTATTATCATTTCACAGATGAGAAAACCAAAGTTAGAATTTGTTCACAGGCTGGGGTTGCCAATTTTAGCAAACAAAAATACAGGATGCTCTGTCTTCGAAATCCAAATTTCGAATACACAATATTTTGTTAGAAGTATATTTCACATATTCCACGTAACACACTTATACCACAAAATTGTTCTTTGTTGCTCTGAAATGGAAATTTCAGGCCATCCTGTATTTCATCTGGTAACTATCTGGGGACAAACTAATACAGCCCATGCAGTAGCAGAATCAGCCCAGTGTCAAAGACTGGGCTTAACCACAACATGAGGCTGCAAAGAGCTAAAATTTGTGTCATTCTTCCTAACAGCAAAACTGGAGCTAACCCAAACCTCAACTGCTAGGTTTATACCATTATGCACTAATTTGATGGAATAGCATAGAAACATTGAAAGTAACAGCTAGAAAAAAATTCCATGCCAGGCCCGTCAGAATGGCAAACATTCAAATACCTGACGCTATCAAGGGTCGGGAGCAGGTGGAGTGAGCGGTGGAAGCTCTCAGGCGCTGACCGCTCGCTAGCACAGGGATTCCAAACTCTGGTTTGTGTGCCTCGCCTGCACATCTTGCTAAAGCGCAGATATTGATTACTAGGTAGGTGTGGCAAAGGGCTTCCGATTCAGCAGTTTGGGTTTTTTTTGAAGATTTTATTTATTTGACAGACAAGATCACAAGCAGGCAGAGAGGCAGGCAGAGAGGAAGGGAAGCAGGCTCCCCACTGAGCAGAGAGCCCAATGCGGGGCTCCATCCCACGACCCTGGGACCATGACCTGAGCCGAAGGCAGAGGCTTTAGCCCACTGAGCCACCCAGGTGCCCCCCGTCAGTAGTTCCAAGCAGCCCCCAGGTGACACCGACGCCGCTTGCTGCGGCCGCTCTTCCTGGGATGCCTCACTGGTGCACCTGCCCCCCAGCGTGAGGGCTTTCCAAGGCTCCTAGGAGAGGGACACCGCAAAGCCTTCACAATGGAACCCACATTTGTTTGAGCAAAGCTGAAGCTGCACATCTTCTAACACGTACACGCCCGTTTGTCCTCATCGAGGGGGTTTTACAACGAGAAAAAAACCCAAGCCGCCGGTCACAGACCCTCAAGGCCGCCGCCGAGCCGCGAGCTTCGCGAACGCTGCGGACTCCGCCAGCGCCACGCCAGGCGCGAGCGGTGACGTCACCCACGCGCGGGGGCGGGGCCTTCTGTCACGTGGCTCCAGGGGCACGCGCGCTCAGTCTGAGACTGCGGCGCGGGAGTCCGCGGCCCCCACTGCGCCCGGTGCAGCGTTTCTTCCCGGGCAACTCCCCCTGCTGTGGCTAATGCGGGTCGGACCCGGGCTGTGGCGGGAGGGAAGATGCCACAGCCGGAGTCCCAGAAGCCCGGGATCCTGCGCTGCCTGCGTCAGGGTGAGTAGCGCGCGGCCTGGCGCGGCGGCGTCTGAGCCCGCGCGGCCTCCGTCGTCCCCTCAGCGCCTCAAGCTAGCGGCTTCGGCGCGCGGCCCCGAGATCCCAAGGCTGAAGCCTGCGCCCGGGGCCTGACGCCCGGCTGCCGGCTGCGGAGTCAGACCGCGAGCACCGCCCCCGGGGACTGGGTGTTGACGGAGGAACCGCCCGCGGGACCCGGCGCGCCCCTGTCGGCGGGTCTGGGCCGCGCTGGGGTCGCGGAGCCGTGGACCCGTGGCTCCCGCCGCTGTTTCTCGGAACGAGGGTCGGAGCCCTGCGGCTCGGTCTTCCGAGAGAAGGAGGTGGTGCGGCAGAGGCGGTAACAGATGGCAGACGCGAGAGAGAAGTGAGAGCTGCACCCGCCCCCCCCGCCCCCCCCCCCCCCCCCCCGCCCCCCCCCCCCCCCCCCCCCCCAGCCGGGCAGCTCGCGTTTCCCGGGAGGCTCCCCAGCTCGCCTTGACACACGGCATTTGGCTGATGTGCCTCTGGTTTCTCTTTCCTTTCTGTTTGCTTGTTGGAGAAATGGGGCTGTTTGCCTCGTGTCATTTCCCGACGTTCTTAAATTCCATGGCGTTTGGATAAATCTGGAAATACCAAGTCCTTGGCCTCCAGTTCTGGAAGACTTCGCCCTCGGAGGCGTCCTAGCGCGCTCCTGACAGACGGGCGGCGCTTATTTTCCCCGTCGGAGGAGAGCGGGTCAGCGTTCCTCTCCAGCCTTGCGTTGCGAAATCAGTTCGGTTGGCCGGTGTCCAGAGATACAGCGAAATTATAACTGTGCTTTTCATGGTTTTCCTGCGCCCTCTCTTCCCCCAGACCACAGGTTTAGACCCGACTTTAAAGTCTGTTTGTTTTACTCCCCTAAGTTCCAAGCTTTTATCCAGAAATTTGTATGTGGAAACCTACTCTGCCTTAAGACAGAAAGAAGGAAACCTCCCCACCCTCCGTGTGTGTCCGTGGCGCTTTGTAGTTAAAGGTGGCGAAAGACCCAGTTTTCTCATCTTCTCTGGGCAGTTTCTCTGCTGTTTCTTCCTTGCAGTTCGGAGTCTACTTAGTTTTTTTAAACATTTATGCAACATGAAATTTATCATTTTAACCTTTTTTTAAATAAAAATTTTTAAAATTAACATATAATGTATTATTTGCCCCAGGGGTAC